CTAAATTCGGTTCCTGACGCTAGACCCCGCGGCGCGCTCTGGGTCTGGGTCTAGGACACACGCTCCGGCTGCGATCCACCTTGACTCCCCACAGTCGAGGTGCAAAGGGGGATCGCAGACCTTCACCGGGGTCAAACTCGTTTACCGAGAAAACGTGTCATCTGCATCTGGGCTCTCCTGGAGAAAACAGAGAGGCCATGGGGCATAAAAAGCCATTTGCAGAACGTTAGACAGCTAGGCAGTGAAAACAGAGGTCTCTTCTTAGGCTGCCGGGATAACGGCACTGATGGCTCAAGGGGCCCTAGAACAGTTCCTTCTGTTAGGTCGATTCATTAAGTCATTGCTGTTTTGGTGGGTCAACATAACAGAATAGGTCCACTTGCTTTAAATTTCCTGGGAAGTGAAGTTAAAAACGCTTTAGTCATCTGTAAGCACTTTCAATGCCATCAGCAACGGCCATGTAATGAACTGTTTGTTCATTAAGAAATTTAACGTCACCTTTTTGTTCCATTAAAAAGGCCTGAGGGCCGGGCGCGGTGGCTCAAGCCTGTAATCCCAGCACCTTGGGAGGCTGAGGCGGGTGGATCACGAGGTCAAGAGATAGAGATCATCCTGGTCAACATGGTGAAACCCCGTCTCTACTAAAAATACAAAAAATTAGCTGGGCATGGTGGCGCACGCCTGTAATCCCAGCTACTCGGGAGGCTGAGGCAGGAGAATTGCCTGAACCCAAGAGGCGGAGGTTGCGGTGAGCCGAGATCGTGCCATTGCACTCCAGCCTGGGTAACAAGAGCGAAACTCTGTCTCAAAAAAAAAAAAAAAAAAAAAAAAGGCCTCAGAATGGAATTATGCCAGAAACACATGAAAATATACATGGTTTTATTAGGAGACTAATTTATAAGGAAACTAATCGAAAACAATAAATCTATGAAAGCCACTGTTGCCTTTATAACTCGCCTTAATTTTTTTTTTTCTAAAGTCATGAACACAATGAAGATTTTTTTTAACTGGGGAAGAATAGAAGGATGGGTATAAGGATGCCCAAATCTCAAGATTTAAGCTGATTCTGAGTCTGCTATAAAAAATGATCATCAATTTAAGAACTATCTATCCTTAAATATACACTGATTTTTCTTTTTCTTTTTTTTTTTTTTTTTTTTTTTTTTTTTTTTTTTTTTTTTTTTTTTTGAGACGGAGTTTCGCTCTTGTTACCCAGGCTGGAGTGCAATGGCGTGATCTCGGCTCACCGCAACCTCCGCCTCCTGAGTTCAGGCAATTCTCCTGCCTCAGCCTCCCGAGTAGCTGGGATTACAGGCATGCGCCACCATGCCGAGCTAATTTTTTGTATTTTTAGTAGAGACGGGGTTTCACCATGTTGACCAGGATGGTCTCGATCTCTTGACCTCGTGATCCACCCGCCTCGGCCTCCCAAAGTGCTGGGATTACAGGTTTGAGCCACCGCGACCGGCCAACACTGATTTTTCTTATGTGAAATCAGCTCAGTAAAAATTAATAAAATTTTAAAACTGTTGGAACCCAAAAAAACACTTTAAGCCTTGACAAAGATATCACTGATCTGAGTCACATATGGTGACAACTTCTGTGCTCAGATTATAGATGAAATCCTGTTCTTGTTTTTTTTGTTCTATACCATGACTAGAGAGAATTAAACAGCATCAGGGACAAAAATCTCTTGCCTTAATTCGTGACCCTTGTTATATAGATTAACTTCACTCTTGTTGTCCTGCTTTGATTAGAACAGATGATAGAAAACTCAGGACTGTTGGACCCTCTGTTTTAAAAAAGTGTTAAATGTATCCTTCCCAAAAAAGAATATTGCACATAACCAATCAAATTGCTGTAACTGTTTGCCAACCTTGTACGAATAATGTTGCAATCCTGCTAAAAACTCCTGTCTCTGCCAATGTAAGTGAAACCTTAACTTGCCTACTTGTGAATGCTTACTCCATTCCTTTGGAGTTGGTGTTTTCAGGTGGTCCATTCTCACACTTTGCACTTGAATAAACTCTCTTTAAATTAGATTCTCACCTTTTTGATTATTTTAGATTGACAGCTCTAATCAATTAGATCACTCCCCTAGATACTATAATAGACTCCACCCCCCTACCCTCCAGAGGCTATTCCCTATCTCAGTGAATGGCACCAACTTGCCCATTTGTCCAAGACAGAGATCCGAGAATCATTTTTTTATCCCTTCCCCATTCTGATGACTCTCAAATTCATTTCCTCCGTGGCTACCAGAATGATCTTTATAGAATACAGGTTTGTACACATGTCACTCCTTTGCTAAAACTCCTTAAATGATTCCCCATTGACCAGAGGATAGTTCTAACTCCCTCATTAGATCTTAAGGCTCCTTCTAGTTCAGCTCCTCACCCCCACTCCTTCCACCTGCTTCTTGCCTGTTTTTACCCTCTCCACCTCCTGCCATCCCTGCTTCCCAATGGCACTTGTTGTTAAATTGCTCTAATTTCCCCAAGATACAGGATGTCCCTTTGATCACTGAGCATGAAACACTCTTCAGTTCTTTCTTCCCTGACAAGCTCCTACTGCTCCATCAGGTCTCTGATTAGATGATTTCCTGCAGGTAGCTTCTCAGATTCCCTGCCTCAGGTTGTTATAACCCTACCAGCCCTTATCACACAGTATTATAATTACTTTTTCCTCTATTTCGCCACTAAATTAAGCTGCTGACCTGTGCCCAAAGGGAAGTTGCATTTGGAAAGAGCCCGAGCTTTCAACTCAGAGAGACCTGGAATCTAAATCCAGGTCTTGCATTTACAAGTTATGTGCACTTCAGCAAGTTTCTTAACCTGGCTGTATGCATCTGTTTCCTATCTATAAAGGAAGAGGATCGTAGTGAAAATTAATAAAACAATGCGTGTAAAGCATTTTGCAGGTAGCCAGGCACTTAGTAAAGAGTAGTTACAACTGGTAGCACTTCTGCCCTAAAGCTCCTCCCAGACTGAACTCTTCCCAAGAGAGTGAACAGATCTTTTTTTTTAAGACGGTGTCTCACTCTGTCACCAGGCTGGACTGCAATGGTGCGATCTCGACTCACTGCAAACTCCACCTCCCAGAGTCAAGTGATTCTCCTGCCTCAGCTGAGAGTGCAGGCGCATGCTACCACGCCTGGCTAATTTTTGTACTTTTAGTAGAGACAGAGTTTCACCATAGTGGCCAGATAGATGATCTCAATCTCTTGACTTTGTGATCCACCCGCCTCGGCCTCCCGAAATGCTGGGATTACAGGAATGAGCCACCACACCTGGCCATGGGCAGCTCTTATTACATCAACTAGAGACAGACGAAGAAGAAAACTATTATTTTTCCTAATCCCAAAAAAGATTTATATTAGCTGTATATGCACACAGAGATCATTTGACTGGTCTGTTTCATGTTTATCTATCTGAACATGCTTCATGCCATCAGTGTAATCAAAGAATGTCGTGAAAGTATTTTAAACAAAATATAGCATTTTGAAATATATTCCTTTCTTATTTTTTGAAAGAAGTGTGATTTTAAAACATTAAAATGTTTGAAACTGTCTTAAGGCCGAGGGACCATAAATAACTTAAAACAGCAAATCCTCACTTGTAGCAAAGATCCTTGACATTTTCCTTTAGCATCCTTTTTAACAAGCCAAGACAAGTTGTAAAACAAATTATTAGGAATTTCACCACACTTTCTGCCACATCTACTATAATAGTAGTATAACTAAGCAAGTGAACAGCTAGTATAAGAAGACAGGCACCAGGAATCAAGAAAATTTGTATCTTGTACAACAGATAATTGAGATGAGGGTTTTGTTTGTTTGGTTGGTTGGTTGATTGTTTTTGTTTTGTTTTATAATTTATCATACATATTTTAGACTCACAGATTATTAGAACTAGAAAATATATAGCATTCTGGGGAAAAAGAAAAGATTGAGCACATACATATTTATGTTCACTACCTCCAAATTCCACAAAAACGATAGTAAAAAAGAATATTGTAAAACACATGAGATAAACATGGGAGAGGAAACATCGCAATGAAACGCTGTAAGCTGGAAAAGAGTGGATGAGAGGCAACTTACTCAGACAGCTGATTTAGACCTCAATCCTAAACCTGCAGGGGAAAGCTAAATGCAACTCAGTTTCACTACAGAATCCAGGAAGTCTCTGGAATAGGCAGCACCAGGTACCTCTGAAAGTAGGGGAACAACCAGGGCTATTGAAAGATTGGGTTGGTTTGTTTAAGAAGCAACTGGAACTTCTGATCACTCGTTCTCACTCAGGGTAGCCAATCAAATGGCTCTTCAACACCCCATCCAAACACTGGAGGTTTCCTCACTGGAGACACAAAACAGAGTTTCTAGACTAGGAGTTATTAGGCACAGTTGAGGGAGTATTGTGCTAAACCCAGATGTAGTAACAGAACATTGAGATGCTGAATATTGAGAAGACACCTCATCCCTCCCAGTTTCTCTTCTTGAGCTCCAGAATGAAGAAAGCCAGAGCTGTAGATGTTAAGCAGTTAATTTTAAAATACTTCTCTAGGGAACATGAGTAGTCCTAATTAATATATATTAAGGATACCCACAAAATGGCCCTGGCAAATCACCCTCCAGGAATCCCATAGTCAACAAGCTTAGAGCTCTTAAATATGAGCAAATGGCCAAAGATCACCAGATACTATCTGAGGGAAAGCTGTGGCATCAAAGATACTAAAACAAAGAAATAGAGGGGAAAAGCAAATTAAAGAAATAGAGACCCTGTAGGAAGAATAAGGCCTTATACGACCATAATTATTGTATTTATAGGAAAAATTTTATTCATAAAACTATAATAAGATGTTCTCTTTAAAAAAGAAATATTCCAGAAATTAAAAGTTCTTGGATATCGCATATATAACAGCAGAAATAAAAACTCAACAGAAGAGTTGGAAGATAAAGTTAAGAAAATCTTCCAAAAGTAGAAAGCAAAAATACATAGAGCGCTGCTTTGGCAACCTATATATTAAAATTTGAATGATATGGAGAAGATTTGCATAGCCCTTTACGAGGATGACACACAAATTCATAAAGCATTTCTTTTTTTTTTTTTTTTTTTTAATTTTTTATTGGATTATAGGTTTTGGGGTACATGAGCAGAGCATGCAAGACAGTTGCGTAGGTACACACATGGCAGTGTGCTTTGCTTTTCATCTCCCCTTCACCCACATTTGGCATTTCTCCCCAGGCTATCTCTCCCCACCTCCCCCTCCCACTGGCCCTCCCCTTTTCCCCCCAATAGACCCCAGTGTTTAGTACTCCCCTTTCTGTGTCCATGTGTTCTCATTTTTCATCACCCGCCTATGAGTGAGAATATGCGGTGTTTCATTTTCTGTTCTTGTGTCAGTTTGCTGAGGATGATGTTTTCCAGATTCATCCATGTCCCTACAAACGACACGAACTCATCATTTCTGATTGCTGCATAATATTCCATGGTGTATATGTGCCACATTTTTCCAATCCAGTCTATTATCAATGGGCATTTGGGTTGATTCCAGGTCTTTGCTATTGTAAACAGTGCTGCAATGAACATTCGTGTACATGTGTCCTTATAGTAGAACGATTTATAGTCTTTTGGATATATACCCAGTAATGGGATTGCTGGGTCAAATGGAATTTCTATTTCTAAGGCCTTGAGGAATCGCCACACTGTCTTCCACAATGGTTGAACTAATTTACACTCCCACCAACAGTGTAAAAGTGTTCCTTTTTCTCCACATCCTCTCCAGCATCTGTTGTCTCCAGATTTTTTAATGATCGCCATTCTAACTGGCGTGAGATGGTATCTCAATGTAGTTTTGATTTGCATCTCTCTGATGACCAGTGACGATGAGCATTTTTTCATATGATTGTTGGCCTCATATATGTCTTCTTTCGTAAAGTATCTGTTCATATCCTTTGCCCACTTTTGAATGGGCTTGTTTGTTTTTTTCCTGTAAATCTGCTTGAGTTGTTTGTAAATTCTGGATATCAGCCCTTTGTCAGATGGGTAGACTGCGAAAATTTTTTCCCATTCTGTTGGTTGCCGATCCACTCTAGTGACTGTTTCTTTTGCCGTGCAGAAGCTGTGGAGTTTCATTAGGTCCCATTTGTCTATTTTGGCTTTTGTTGCCAATGCTCTTGGTGTTTTGTTCATGAAGTCCTTGCCTACTCCTATGTCCTGGATAGTTTTGCCTAGATTTCCTTCTAGGGTTTTTATGGTGCCAGGTCTTATGTTTAAGTCTTTAATCCATCTGGAGTTAATTTTAGTGTAAGGTGTCAGGAAGGGGTCCAGTTTCTGCTTTCTGCACATGGCTAGCCAGTTCTCCCAACACCATTTGTTAAACATGGAATCCTTGCCCCATTGCTTGTTTTTGTCAGGTTTATCAAAGATTGTATAGTTGTATGTATGTTGTGTTGCCTCTGGTGCCTCTGTTTTGTTCCATTGGTCTATATCTCTGTTTTGGTACCAGTACCATGCTGTTTTGATTACTGTAGCCTTGTAGTATAGTTTGAAATCCGGTAGTGTGATGCCCCCCGCCATAAAGCATTTCTTTAAAAAAAAACAGAAAATAAAAGTGTTGGAAAGATGTGGGGAAGTTGGAACCCTTGTGCACTGTTGGTAGGAATGTAAAATGATGCAACCACTGTGGAAAACAGTATGGCAGTTCCTCAATAAATAAAACGTAATTACTATATGATCTGGTAATTCCACTTCTGGGTATATTCTCAAAAGAATTAAAAGCAGAGACCCAAATAAATATTTGTACACTCATTTTTACAGTAGCTTTATTCACAATAGTCAAAAGGCAGAAGTAACCCAAATTTCCACTCACAGATGGATAAACAAAATGTGACATATACATATAATGAAATTTATTCAGCCTTAAAAAGGAAATCCTCACACAGGCTACAACATGGATAAACCTCAAAGACATTATTTGAGGTTTATTCACTGAGTGAAATAAGCCAGTAACAAAAGGACTAATGTTGTATGATCCCACCTACATGAGGTACCTAGAGTAGTTAAATACAGGAAGACAGAAAGTATAATAGCAGCTACGAGAGGCTGGGAGCAGGGGTTAGTGAGGAGTAATTGTTTAGTAGGTACAGAGTTTCAGTTTGGGATGATGAAAACATTGAGATGGATAGTGGTGATGTCTGCATGACAATGTGAATGTGCTTAATTCCACTGAGCTGTACACTGAAAACAGTAAATCTTATGTATATTTTATCACAATACAAAAAAAACTGGCACTTTAAGCATGTAACTTAAGAGATACAGAGGCAAATATTAAAAGAAATAACTCAGAGTTGGAAGTGTTTTCTTCCAAGGATGGGAAAATGTCAGAGGAAGGGCTGCTGTTTTTCAAAGAAGCTCTGTTAAACTATTTATCTCTTTAAATTATGCACATGTAAAATTGTATTCACAGTTTTACAGATAACACTAATAGTGAACTTGAAGGCTGAGTGTGATGAACAAATAACACTAATAATGAACTTTAAGGCTGAGCGTGATGGCTCATGCCTGTAATCCCAGCACTTTGGGAGGCCAAGGGGGTGGATTGCTTGAACCCAGAAGTTTGAGATCAGCCTGGGCAACATAGCAAAATTCTGTCTCTACAAAAAATAAAAATGTTAGCCAGGTGTAGTGGCATGCACTTGTAGTCCCACCTACCAAAGAGGCTGAAGTGGGAGGATCACCTGAGCCTGAGGAAGTTGAGGCTGCAGTGAGCAGTGATGGCGCCACTGCACTCCAGTCTGAGCAACACAGAGCAAAAAATAAATAAATAAACAAGATATTTGTAATTCCCTCAATTTCATAGATAGCCAAATCATGTTCTGCAGGGAATGCTTATGAGGGGGAAAAAAAAAATAAAACAAAACAAATCATGGAGACAGTAGGACCTTTGGCCAAGTAATCTAAAATAGCAAGTGGCAGAGTAAAGATTTGAACCAGTATGTTCTGAATCAAAGTTCGGCATCTTACCACCACAACACATTGTAGTCTGTAACAGCTTCTTCCTTAGTACCCCAAAATAAACTTATCTGGGCATCCTGCCTTAAGCCTTCTTAAATTACTTTTCTTCATATTTTATAAAATGTCTAATAACACTGCAGAGTTTTCCATTTGGCCTAGCATTATTCATTAATGACGTTTTTCCAATCCAAATACACTTTTGAAATAATACTTTTTCTGACTTTTTCTCTATCTTCATAATTAAAATTGAATGGGAATTGGGGGTATTTGTGTTTAGTGTTTCTCCCTAAATGGTTGGAGAGACTTTGCTATTGCTGAATAAGATACTGTCTTTTATTTCTTTTTTCTTTTCGTTTTTTTTTTTTTTGAGACAGAATATCACTTTGTCACCCAGGCTGGAGTACAGTGGCACCATCTTGGTTCACTGCAATGTCTGTCTCCTGGGTTCAAGTGATTCTCCTGCCTCAGCCTCCTGAGTTACTGGGATTACAAGTGTGAACCACTACGCCTGGCTAACTTTTGTATTTTTAGTAGAAATGAGGTTTGACCATGTTGGCCAGGCTGGTCTTGAACTCCTGGCCTCAAATGAAGTTCCTGCCTCAGCCTCCCAAAATGCTGGGATTACAGGCATGAGCCACCACGCCTAGCCAGTGCTTTATTTCTTGTGTGGGATGTTTTGTACTGAGTCCAAAAAGCTACCCATGGTCACCTTTATCACAACAGAAAGCATTGCCAGTTCAATTCAACTCACTAGTCTAATATTAATTTTAATGTCAATTTTTTCCATTAGAAATATGATATCTTTATAAAGAGCATTTAGACTAAGGAATGATATATAATTTACCATGCTTCAGACTTTACAATAAATCCCTTATGTGCACAGCATTTCCAACAATAATCCGTTAGTTATCAGTTGAATATATACTAATGGACATCTATGAAATATTTTTTAAAGAACTGTGAGGACCTGTCATAAGAGTATCCTCCAACACTGACAAATGCTTTTTCCCAGAATAATGTGATTGATAAGTTATCAATGTGAAAACTCTAAATAAGATCTATTATGCTTTTAGGATACCATCCCTTATCAAAATAGTGTAGATTACTGTGTATGGTTTCTCATCTTACGTGACTGTCTCAACCAGGTTGTGTGCTTCTTGAGGGTAAAGTAGTACAAGACTAGACACGTAAGTCCCCTTTAAGAATCTGTAATAAGTAATGAATCAGGGTAGGGAATCATGGAAAGTTACAGCTGAAATGCGGCTTAGGGACCCATGGGTCTACCGACCTCTTTTCACATTAAAGGAAATGCTAATGGATATTTGAATGTATATTTATGTGGAATATTTCATATGCATTTACTCACTGCAGCCCCTCTAAGTAGGTACTGTTATTACTCCATATTAAAGATATTAAAAAGAAGATCAGGGAGGTCAAGTAACGTACCCAAGGTCACATAGCTAGTCAATGCTTACAGTTGGACTATAGCCAAGGTGATTGGAGTCCAGAGCCTATGCTTTGCTAATCTAGAGATAGATGTTAGCTCATTTACATGTGATCATATGGCCGACGGCTGACAGAGGCAGGCCTAGAATCCAGATTGGTTGGCTGCCCAGAGCAAAAGCTTATCTTGGGATCCACTGGTGCATATTTTAAGTTAAAAATAAATTTCTGTCTAGGGATGCTCTTGGCTATAATTTCTCATTTTTATATAGCAAAATTTGAAAAGACTACATGTAAATTATTCCTACAAAATTGCCTCTCTGAAACATATATCTCAGAGCTGAAAAAAGTTAGCTTTGATTTGCTTCCATTTCTTAAATAGGGAAACAAGCTCAGAGAGATGAAGAGACAAACCCAAGACCATTCCACAGCTAAGAGAAGGTGGTCAAGTGGGACCAGGTCCCCTGCTTCCTGCGGCAGGGCTGCCTCCCCCACATTCTGGTTCCATGTGTCAACAGAGTCTATTGCCCATGCTATATCAATTCATATTCCAGACATATCCTTCTGGAACTTTTCATTTCCCTAATTACTTCCATCTGTATTTTCCATCTCTGATTTACTCCTTATCTACTACTATCTGTAATA